GACTCTCCTCGATTCGAGTATGGATCCTGTGCTTTCAGTAGTACGAGCCCAATACTGCTTTCCACACCTATCCATACTTTCCTCAAGAATCCTCCAGAATCCTCTAAGTCACCTTCTCAATGGATGCCCCAAAAGCTCACAAAACCACGCCACCAAACCCACTCAAGCACATCCTAGGCTCTCCTAGGTACCCGACCTCACCCATCCCTTAGTTGCTGAAAGATTCCTACCGATGTTAACTAGCTACCTCATGAATATAGTCACATGCAACAGAGATCAAATAATCCTTCAAGTAAAAGACTCGACCCTAGAACGGTTGGACTCGGACGAGAGCTATGCAATAGGGCCAAATCCATCACTCTGAGATTATTTAACCTATGTCACATGTGACTAAACATATTCACTTTGTAGCTGGTTCACATCACTAAGAGTCCGACAAAGCACAAAGCAAGCAACATTTAGGCAACAGAAAATCTAACCAATACACACTAATCAGGACATTTTATCCACTTATCTCCAAATCATACTAGCATGCAATTCTAAAAGCACATACAATCGGGTATATAAAGGCAACTCTCTCATATCATAAATTCTTGAGCAAATCCTTAGCTCTAACTAGCATGCGATTCACAGATTCATAAATCAAATCATATCAAATAACATGTATGGGTATTTTGGGAGGAACTTACTTGAGCTAAGCTGATTGCACGCACCACACCCTTTTTATCTTAGAAAACACTTTTCTTAAAAATACTTTTCTTTTTGAAAACTTTACCAAATCCTCAGTTTGAGTTCAGACACACCCGAGAGTATGTTTGAATCCCTCAAACCAAGGCTCTGATACCAACTTGTAACGTTCCAAAATAATGACATAAAATTTTCATTTTTAGGTTAATAAATCTTTAATACATATTATTTCCATAAAATCAAGGTGAATAAGATTTATCAAAACATCATTAAATCAGAGTAATTCACAGAACGTGGAAACATATGGTGTGTGCTCTGCAATCATCCTGAGCTCTTCCATTTGAAAATCGTAGTACCTGAAACATAAATTGAAAACCGTAAGCACAAGGATTAGTTAGTTCCCCAAGCTACCACATACAATACATACAAATAAACATATAATGTGCCTCGTCCTGTGATCGGGCCCCACCCGGCATTAGACCATGTCAGGCATTGGGCCCCGCCCAGTATACATGTAAAACATATAAACATATCAATACGTCACAAATGCAATAATCACAAAGATACATAACATACAGAATGGTCATCAGGCCCCGCCCGACATCGGAACGTACCCGGTAATCATAAAAACACATTCAGATAACTAATATACAATATACTCATCAGGCCCCGCCCGGCATCGGGACATACGCAGAATACATAAACACATAACACATGCAAGAGTCACGAAGACAACAAATATACAAAGCATAACAAATCCTGGGTCGGCATTGGTGCCTTCGACCCACTAATACTAGTGAGGAGACTCGCCTCACACTGGCGAATCGAACAGAAAAATATATGGCTGTTGGCTGACAGATCCCCGAACTGTCAATATCAAAGCAACACCCAATCAACATTTCGGTCCCAATTCATAAACATAAGTCCAACAGTCCATTCTTGGGGTAAAAAGACCATTTTACCCCTCACCTAGTTTGGCCCAAGACTAATGCCCAAACTAAAAATCTAAAAAGACCCAAAACCAAATAATAATTCAAATCCCATCCTTGGCCCAATTTTCCAAATTGGGCCTAAACCCCTTACATGGGCCTTACCCTAAAGCCCAAACATAATCCACGGTCAACCCTAGCCAAACTTCTTGGTCAAAGTCGAAGTCAAAAGCCCATGTTGACCAAACATGTCGTGTTGCCACTTGGCCACGCCGTGTTCCGACATCATCCAAACAGTCGGGAAAATCCCAACCAACACGCCGTGTTGGCTTACAAACACGTCGTGTTTGCCTGAGTTTCAACAACTTAATACCTTAAGTTGCTTTCCTCGATTCCAAGAGCTTCGAAGCTCAGATCTAGTCCATAACATGGTCCAAGAGGATAGAGTTTCCAACTTTATCCGTTGGGACTACTGAAAAGGTTCAAAACTCACAGGAACCCTACGTTTACCACCAATCTCCAATTTTATTTTGCAGCTTTTCCGTTCGTCACTCAGAAGCTGTGGTCGCTGCCATTACTGTCGTCCAATTCGAGTGTCCTCTATTAGATGGTGTTATAAATTTGAAATCCCATTCGAGTATCTTCTAAATTCGTTTTTTTATCAACAACGATTGTGTTAGTAAATAGAATCGACAATAAGAAAAAACATATTCAATTCACTTGGATGGTAGATTTGTTGGTAATCGGCAACAGAGGAACATCAACAAAGGTAAATTAATTACTTATTTTATTCCTAAACGCACATGCATGATTTTTCTGTTTTGAAGATCTTGAAATGGAATTTAATACCAATTGTTGTTTCCCTCAAACATGTAGATTATCGT